TGAAGAAGTTCTGGAATGGCAAAATGAATCCACGGGGCTGGAGGTGAACAGGTGGTTACTTCGGGGAGGGTTGCCTGCGAAGGGCCTGGAATGTTCCGTGTCCTGATCCGGGTGGTGGTCACACAGTCCGTGTGCATATGTAAAACTCACGGGGCTGGATGCTTAAGAGGCGTGCACTTTGCTACGGGCGTAGCAAATTTCAAAAGCAAAGAATAAAAAACATAGTCTGCAAGACTTCACACCAAACAGCACACACCGGTTCCCTTTGGGGAGGATGTGACCGCAAGGACAGAAAGGGAGCCTTTACCTGTAACACTTTGAACTGTTCTGTAATCAGAACGTGCTCATTCACATAGTATTAATTTGACGTTTTCTGGACGTGTGGCACACACAGACAAGGGCACACATCTTCACAAACGTAGCACACCTGTGTGACCAGCACCCAGCTCAAAATACAGAACATCCTGGCTCCCTTAAAGACCCCCTAATTATCTGTTTATCTCAAATTCCGCTTTAACCGGATGTTTGCTGTATTTGTCGTGTTTTGCTAAACCTGGCAACCCCACCCCTGCCGTTGTCCCACAGTCTCTCCCTCCCTCCATCCTGGCCTCTCACAGCACAGATTCGTTTTGCCTGTTCGTGCGTATATCGTTTGGAAATTAAAAACAAAATGTTTCCTTTAAAAAATGTCACCAGCCATGATCAGCAAAGCGGGGATCAGAGGTTCATAGGAACCCGAAGTTTCCTTACCTGGATCCCTTCGTTCCAAGGCCCATGTCCACCCAGTAAAAGCAAAGGAGTCAGATCCAAGTTCAGATGGAGGCATTGGCTCTGAGAAGCCCCAGTCTGAATTTTTCCACTAGAGTTAAGTTCTCTCTGCCCAGAAGAATGTCAGATTTTTTTCTTAATCCTTTGAGTTTGTGAATTTTGCCAGGATATACCTTGGTGTGTGTTTTTTCCCCAGCCTTCCAGCTTGGAGGTCGGGAATCCTTTCAATCTACAGCTTTTGCTGTCTTCTTGGCTGAAGAACATTTCCTTGCATTACTTGCTTACTTTAGGTTTGGGTTTTTGGAACGTTTGCTATTTGCATTTCTCCCTTATTTTGCTTTACGATATTCCCAAGATATCATCTTCTAGGCCATGATTCAACTTGCAACAGGAACTAACACTTTCTGCAGGTCATCTGCTTAATTTTTAGTTCAGAAACCAGGTCTTAAAGCTCCAGAAAGTCATTTTGGGGTTTCTCTTGAATTTCCCTTAGGCATTCTTTTTATTTGGTTTTGTTTTGTTTCGTTTTGTGGAGTAAACCAACACTTGGGCTTTAAAATACAATAAAATTAATACACTGCTCCGCTTTCAAAATTGAGGATTGTTGTACATATTACAGTTGGACATAAATTCCCATTTTCCTCAAATTGAAGCTTAACACGTGTGTGTCTCCCCTTCGTCTGAGTGAAGCTTTACAGATGTACACGAGGCCCTGCACGTAGCGGGGCTTCAACAGATACCTGTACTTGAATTAATGTCCTTTGAATTGGGGGTCAAAATCATTCTTGCTTAAAAGCAGTCTATATATAGAAGCATTGCTCACAAAATTGCCAATGAGTAATTTTTTTTAAATTACTGTTCAGTGAAACTGACCGTTTTTCTTTCTTTCTTCTTCTTCTTCTTTTTTTCTTTTGGTGGCTATTTCCATGAATTCTAACACACTTAAGTTGTATTGTCACAATGACTATTACTCAGCTGTTGCTCTGTTGCCTCCAGCCTGGGCACCAAAGACGCCCACGTCCTAATCCCTGGAGTCCAGGAATACGTGACTTACACGACAAAAGGAATTTTGAAGATGCCATTAAATTAGGGATCTGAAGAGGTGGGGAATCTCCTGATTCTCCAGAGGTCCTTAAAAGATGGGGAAGCAGCAGCTGGTCAGAGAGGTTGGATCCAGGGATCGGAGTGACGTGGACCACAAACTGAGGAACGTGGGCACCTCTAGAAGCTGCAAAGGCAGGGAATAGATTCTCCCCCAGAGCTCCCAGGAGGAATGCGATCCTGCCCACCCATTTTCTATGTCTGACCTCCAGAAAGGCAGGATAAGAAATATGTGCGGTTTTAAGCCACCAAATTCATGCTAATATTTTTATAGCATAAATGGGAAACGAATACCTTGGTTTGCTTTCTGGTTGTTGTGAAAGTTGCCATTCGGAATGACCGTCCCAGTGCGCTTCTCTCTGGCCTCCGAGAGCCGCAGGTGAGCAGTGAGCTTTCTCTTTGGGGCAGTGGGACTCGGGTCTGGTTGCTGTTAACGTACTAGCTGCAGGAATCCTACAGGCAGGAGAAAGGTAGGGCGCTCAGGCCCGCAGGCCCGCGCCTCTCAGGCAAGATGCCTTCGCCTCCCAGCCTCGAGGGCAGAGGAGCCCCAGCCCGCCACTCGCCTCCTGCGCACGCGCTCCTGAGGGGGAGACTTCCCTGGATTCTCCGCTCCGAGGGCCTCGTCCTTGGTCTTGGGGCTCCCGGGGGGTAACCCAACCCACCGCCGGGGGTGGGGAGGAGACTTCGGGTCTCCAGTTCTCCCACCAGAGCCCGAGGCCTAACCCACAGCCTGTGGGCGCCAAGACCCGGCAGCGCGGAGGCTCCGTGCCCTGTGCAGGCCGCCATGTTCCCAGCATCCCCCGAGACGATCTCACTTAATCCTCCCAGCAGCCTTTACGCGAGTGTGTACTAGTATGGTCTCCATTTTCCAGATGAGGAAACTGAGGCCCTGAGCGGGTTAGTGCCCTGCTTGACACCCCACGCCTCTCGCTATCCAGCCCGAACTCTCCTCCTGGCGCCCCTTGCATAGGCCCAGCTGTGCAGGGGCCCTTGGGGGAAACACACACCGGCCCGTCTCTGTGGGGCCCGAGCCCATCCTGAGCCCTGACCAGGGCTCCCCACCCCGGCCACGCCTTCTCCACGTCTGCTGCGGCCGCAGCAACCGTTGCGCTCGGCCATTTATAGCTACTGACTGCTCACACGGTGTTTTAACGAAAATCCATGGTGTGCCTATTAGCTGGGGAAACATTTATTCTGGCGTTGTCAGAGAATCTTGGACAGGAAAGCTCCTCTTGACTTGTGCACATGTGTGTGTGTGTATGTGCCTCTATGCACGCGTGTGTGTGCGTACACGGGTGTGTCTTTGCCCGTGCACGCCCCAGTGTGCACGCCACACACGCCTGTGCGTGTGTACGCTGGTGTGGGCACACACGCGAAAACACATCTTTTGTGATTAAAGATTCCATTAGAAGAGGCTCCCGGGTAATTCTAACCCATGTGTGACTAGAGGAAAAAAAAAAGCCCACGCCTTTTTTTGTCACAGCAATAAATAGCCTTGGGTTTGCGTGCCCCCAAACTGAGACTTTTCTCTCCACCCGAGAAGGGAAGTGAGTGATAGCTACCGTTTATTCAGGGCTTGCCTGGCCCTCACCTGCTTTCGCCCTCCAGAAAATCTAATAAGAAAACTTATTTCTTTTTTTATGTTCCAGAAAACTCCAGCCCCACGGGTCCTTCTGTTCCTCAAAGACTCCAAATTCATCTTCCTTTGAGGCTTTTGCAGTCCCCACTGCCAGGAGCCCCTCCGCAGTTTCTGCTCAGAGGGACCCACCCGGAGCCCATGTCAGGCAGCTGACACCGACCCCCGCATCTCATGCCCACGTCATGTTTGTTACGGCCTGTGGTTATCTGGGTTATGCATTTATTAATTTCTTTTTATCCATCTTCCCCTTGCACGTGAGCTCCAGGAGGGCAGGGAGTTTGTCGCTTTGCGGCTGTCCCCCGCGAGCTAGCACAGCACCCAGCACCCAGCAGGGCTCCAGAAAGGGGAATGAATACTGTTCCGGCATCAGCCTAGTGTCCCCACCAGCAGGGAGGGGCGAGGGGATGTTCTCCTTCCACAATGATTGCGAGCGCTGAGTTTTTGCTCCCTGAATCCCAAGGCTGTCTTTGGTTTTCCCAAAACCATCCTGGGAAAGAGTGTTCAATAAGAGTGCCTTGCACTCGGAGAGCGAGCTGCTATTTCCAAGGCCCTTGAAGAGTCTGGACTCTGTGTACCTCAAGATGGGGCCACCCCCAGCTCCACCACCATGTGACCCTCGGTGGCTCACGTCACCTCTCCAAGCCTTCGTTTCCTCATCTGCAAAATGGAGGCACAGATGATAATGTGGTCCCGACCCCACAGGGTGGCTGGAAAATTAAATGTGGACATGAGCCCGAGGACACAGTGCCTGGCACGTAGCAAGTGCTCAGTAAATAAGAGTTGTCATTTCTTTCCTCATTCAGCGCATATTTATAGGTGAGCTGCTGCTGTAGGAGCTGGGGAGATGGCAGTGAGGAAAACTGAAGAGGACCCTGCCCTCGAGAGCTGACTGTCCCCTGACACCGAACAAAATAAACAAGCACATTGCATGATGTGTTAGGAAGTGACAAATGCCGTGGAGAAAAAGAGAACAAAGAAGGGAGATGGGAGACAGGGGTGAGTGGCTATTTTCAATAGGGTGGCTGGGAAGGCCTCATACAGGTGACATTTGAGCACAGGGGTGTCAAACAGGTGAGGAGGGAGAGAGCCACTCTGCTGACCTAGGAAAGGTGTCCCAGGCAGGGGTCCCTGCAGATGCAAAGGCCCTGCAGTGGGACCCGGGCCGGATAAGGAGAGAATTTTCACCATTTCCTCTCCCTGCCATTGTCTTTCTCAAAACTGACAGGCACAAATGTCTCCAGTCCAAGCGCTGCAGAAAGCGCACAGTATCTCTCCCCGTGACCGTGACCCAGCCGCTGTCTCTTTAACCTTGAATGCCTTTTGGGGGCTCACGTGTCACCCGGTGGCGAGTGAGCGGCCCTTACTTCAGAAGAACGGCATGGGATAGGGGGGCCTTAGGTGGCGTCCACCTCACCTATTACTGCCAAAAGTGGTCATGGGGTTATTTTTAAACGCGAGGAGGAAGTATTTATTGTTCCTGGGCTGAGGAGGGCTGGGCAGCGTGTTGAATTCTTCTCGGGAAGCAGTGCCGGGTCCCTTCCACCATGGTGAGTAGCAAGGGCTCCGTGAGGCGGGGATGCCAGGTGGGTGACAAGGGGAAGCCACCCACAAGCAAAGGACCAAAGCGGAGCGGGGAGAAAGGCGGCTTTCCGGGACTCCAGCCCCTCGTGGAAAAAGCACTGTTGGCTGTGTGCGCACACAGGAACCCCAGTCAATGCCCCGATAGGCCACAAATAACAGCAGCTCCCGGGGACTCACAAAAACAAAATAAGAGAGTTGGCTTTTTTATGGCTTGTCTACTGACCTCTCGAGGAATCAATAACTCCCGGGGCTTGCAAAATGGGATTGAACGCTTTTAAGGATCAAATTGTAATTCTTTTCTCTTGTTCAGGCAGCTGGGGAAAAGAATCTTTTGGTTTTCACCTTTTGAACTTGCAAATTTTGAACTTGCAAAACCTTTCTTCCTGTGATGTTTGGTTAGGTGCCCCCCCCAAAAGCAGGCAGCCCCCAAACTAGGGTCAGCTCAGGAGGGAGATCAGGGGCATGAACTTTGGAGTCAGAATGCCCAAGTTCAACTCCAGATCTGCCTTTTTGTGGCTGTGAGACCTTGGGCAAGGGACCCAACCTCTCTGAGCCTCGGTTGCCCCCCCCCATAAAATGGGGATGATAATAATAGCATTTATGGGACAAAGCAGTTACAAGAATGAAATAATAATAACCTCTGTACAGTGCTCAAGTGTTTGCTGTTATTTAAGCTCAGAGGGAAGTGGGTTCGGGGAGAGAGGGTACCTCACTCTTCTCTGCATTGTTGACACGGTGCGAGGACAGAACATTTAGAGAGGAGATTTCACTGCCATTTGGATCAAGGGAAAGTTGTGGGGTGGGGGGAGCAGTTGGATTTTAACATCCTGAAAAACCGTCATCTCGTCTTGGCATGCATCACGGCTTAGCGAACCTGACTTTTTCTTTCCCTCCAATCAATTCTCCTTCTGTGCGTTACTAAGCTTTTTGTGCAATGCCCTGGAACAAAAGCGGCTGGACCCTGCCGGGGGCTGATCCAGAGGTGTGGCCTCCATCCCCGGAGACACACCGGCACCTTCTCATTCGCATCGGAGCCGCTGCAGGAGCCACGATCTCTTATGACTCACCAGGACCCTGAAGATCTGGAAGAACTTTATGTTGTGTCCTTTATCCCTCGGGCACCATTGTTCTGAGATATGATGTGAACACCATAACCCATTTCACAGATGAGCCGCCGAGCCCCTGCAAGATGGAACTAACCCACCCAGAGAGGGGGCCTGATCTAGTTTCTAATTCCCAGCCTCTGACTCTTTTAATCAATTCTCTTTCCTCCCCAGGCACCTAAGAAAGCTAAGAAGAGAGCTGAGGGCGCCAACTCCAATGTGTTCTCCATGTTTGAACAGACCCAAATCCAGGAATTTAAGGAGGTGGGTGCATCTGTTCCATCACCCGCCGGCATGGAAGCCCCACCTGGTAGAGGGAAGCTTTCTTTTGTTCAGATTCCCAGCAGGGCTCTTTTGATTAGATGTCTTTATCCTCCCAACAATCCCTAATTCAGTCTGAATATATGTGTGAACCTTTTAAGGAAATTATTTTTTTTTTTTTTTTTTTTTTTTTTGAGACAGAGTCTCACTCTCTTGCCTGGGGCGAGTGCCCTGGCGTCAGCCTAGCTCACAGCAACCTCAAACTCCTGGGCTCAAGCATCCTCCTGCCTCAGCCTCCCAGGTAGCTGGGACTACAGGCATGCGCCACCATGCCCGGCTAATTTTTTCTATTTTTAGTTGTTTGGCCAATTTCTTTCTATTTTTAGTAGAGACGGGGTCTCGCTCTTGCTCAGGCTGGTCTTGAACTCCTGAGCTCAAACGATCGATTACAGGCGTGAGCCACCGCGCCCAGCCAGGAAATTATTTTTTAATTACTTTCGCTGATTATCAAAGTAAAACGTATTCCTTGTTGAAAATGTAGGAAAATTTTCCAGAAAAGCACAAAGAAGAAAATAAAAACTACCTACAATTCTACTACCCAGAGAGAATCGGTTCACACTTTAGTATATACCCTTCAAGTTATTTTTGTTATCTATTTATACACTGATTAAGCAAAGTCACAGTCTTCTATGCCCCCTGATTAGTACCTGCATTTTTTTCTCTTTTAAGAAATTCGGCATCAAAATTTCTATCATTTATTTAAACCATTTCCTATGGTGGGATGTTACATTTGTAACTAATGTCTTACTATTATAAATAACACATCTTTGCTCGTATTTCTGGTTATTTCCTTGTGGTAACTTCCTAAAAGCAGAACCACTGGGTCAAAGGAACTTAAAAAACAAACAAACAAAAAGAACTAAAACCAAGCAAACCTGCTGGTCCAAATTGCCCTCTAGAATTACTACACTAATTCCTCCTCCCATCAGCCCCGAGAAGAGAGTATTTTTTTCCTACATTTCCAACAACACTGAGTATTAATAGTTAAAATAATTTTTTGTTTGCAATCTAGAGATGAAAGGCGGTATCTCCTGGATTTCAAATTTTACAGTTTTCTTTTATTGAACACCAGCTGGGCTGAAACCCTGTCACATTCGATGGGAATGTGCCTTATTAAGCAAACCTAAGGACCAATTAGGCAAAATTAAGCCACTGCCCTTGAACTGAGAAGGACAGATTCTGAATTAATTTCCCGGCAGTCGTGAGGGCTCACACCGAGTCATCCGCACTCCCACTTGGCCCTCCAGAGGAAAGCACGCTCCAGCTACGCCAAAGACGCCGTGTTTGCTATCAAAGGGGAAACCACTTGGGGCCTCCAAACAGGACGTGAACACTCGCACCTTTTGTCCCCCTTAGCATTCAGATTGTCGGAATGCCACAGCCCCTAGGCCACCAGGGAAAGAGAAATTCCTGGGACAAGTGTCATATCTGAACTTGAAATAGTCACTTTCCAGGGAGAAAGCTACACCCACCCCTTCTCCTCACTCTGCCCCAACCTCTGGAATGAGATCAGCTGCCGGGGTGTGGGCCCGGGGAGGGGGGGTGCGAAGATTTTCAGGGACCAGCTACAGCAAAGATCGCAACAGAGTGTAGCCATGATGCCTCATTTGTAAAATACTCGGTGTTTATAAAGCCCTGGGAGCGTCCCTGGGAGTGGGGAGAGATCACTGGCCCCATTTTACAGACAGCCCAGGCTCAGCAGTGAAGAGGCCAGATGAGACCCCAGTTCTTAACTCTGAAAAACCCAGCTTTATAGAGATATAATTCACATGCACTAAAATTCACTTTTTTTAAAGTGTACAATTCAGTGGTTTTTAGTACAGTCACAAAGTTTTAGAACCATCACCACTATCTAATTTCGGAACATTTCTATCACCTCTAAAGGTGACAGAAGGAAAAAAAGAAGAAGACCCCACACCCATTGGTTACTTCCCATTCCCCCTCCTCCCGCCCCTGGCAACCACTGATCCACTTTCTGTCTCTAGATTTCCCTTTTCTGGACATTTCATAGAAATGGGATCATACGATACGTGGCCTTGTGTGTCTGGCTTCTTTCGCTGAGTGTCACGCTTCAAGGCCCGTCCGTGCTGTGGCACGTGTCGGAATTGTCTGCCTTTGTATTGCTGGGTGATGTTCCACCGCGCGGACAGGCCGCATTCTGTTTGTCCATTCCGGAGTTGACGGGTCTGTAGCTGTTTGCAGCTGGGGGCTATAGTGAATGACACGGCTACGGATGTTCGTGTGCAGCTTTTACGTGGACGTGTTTCCAGTGCCCTTGGGTATACAGCCAGCAGTGGAATCGCTGGGGCACACAGTCACACTGCGCCTGTCCTTTGGAGGAACTACAGGCCTCTTTTCAATTGTTGACTCTTGATCTGATGTCCTAGGATGCCCCTTGAAGATCCCAGAATTCACTTCTCCTAGTCCTTGGCCCAACCTCTCGGGTAACTGTGCCCAGTTCCTCCCGCGCTGACCAGCAAATACCTCCCTCCCGCAGGCCTTCACCATCATGGACCAGAACAGGGACGGCTTCATCGACAAGAACGACCTGAGAGACACCTTTGCTGCTCTCGGTACGTCGCCCCTTCCAGTCCCCGTCCCCCCTGCGCAAGGGTTTCCTTATCCCACAGCCAGGAGAAGCAGGAGGTGGGACATCCAAAAAGGTCAAGAGAGTGTCACTTTCCAAAGAAACAGCTCAACCGTAACAGGCCTGTAAGATGAATTTTAGAGGATGGGAAAGAGATGTTTAGTCTTGGAGTGTCTTCACTTATCTTTTATTTGTCTCTTGAAGTACCTTGTTTCGGTGTGATTTTGAAGGCAATGCCAGCTCTCAACAGAAAATATAGAAAATTCGGGAAAGTATAAAGGGGAAAACGACATTACCCACAAGGTCACTTTCCACTGTTAACATTTCAGTCCCTTTCCTCCGAGATTGTCTAGGCACATCCGTTTGGTTTTGGTTTTTTAACTAATCAGAATCATTCTACTTTGAATTCACCTTTTAAAATATATCATCTCGACAGGGTGAGCATGAGTACAGGGAGCTTTTTCAAGATAAACATGTCCAATCTGCCACTCAACACCACTACCAACTCCCATCCTTAGAACTCAGGGCCACCACACACAGCTGTGCAGGTTGTGCACTGCACAATTCTACAGGGCACAACACTACTCACATTTGTAGCTACTGTAGCTTTTTATATTTACAAGCAGAAATTGTCTTAAGAAGGGGTGGCTTTTTCTAATTTGCACAAATGTGGGCTTGTGGTAGGACTAGAGCAGGTATGTCAGAATCTCCGAGGCTGTGGGTTACAGCAGGTATTACTTGAAAAATTTCCCTCGGGGGATGCTGATCTGTCTCTCCCACCTCCAACTGAGAAGGGCTAGTTTACAATATGAGCGTTTCCCATTGGAGTAAAAAATGAACATATCTGTATAAAATGTTCCAGGTTCTGAAGACACTATTTTAAAAATAACTAACCTCTCCACACATCGGATGTTTGAGTCGCTTCCAGTCACCTGGTTATTATAAATAACACCGTTGAGAACATCTCATGGGGATCGTTGACTCGATCCCTATCTCTGATTATTCCTGCACTAGATTCCTTGAGGTGGGATTACAGGGGCAAAGGCCAGTGTCCTGACAGCTGCTTCTCTCCCAGCTCAGAGTCCCTGAGTGTGTTTCTTGCCCTAGGACGTGTGAACGTGAAAAATGAAGAAATTGATGATATGCTCAAGGAAGCTCCAGGTCCAATTAACTTCACTGTGTTCCTGACCATGTTTGGGGAGAAACTTAAGGGTAAGCACGTGTGTGTGTGTGTGTGTGTGTGTGTGTGTGTGTGTGTGTGTGTGTGTGTGTGTGTCTTCACCTTTGGGCATGAATTAAGGCACTAAGAGAACAGATTGGGGTTGGCAGAAGACGGATCGCTTTCAAGGAGACAAAGTACCATTGGAAAAAAGAGTATAAACAGGGCAGGGTATGGTGGCTTGCACCTGTAATCTAGCACTCTGGGAGGCCAAGATGGGAGGATCGCTTGAGGCCAGGAGTTTGAGGTTGCAGTGAGCTATGATGACGCCACTGCATTCTAGCCCAGGCATCAGAGCAAGACCCTGTCTCAAAACAACAAACAAACAAACCCTAAAGACAGCAATTAACATTGCTCCAAGGCTTACCCTAAGCCAGGCCTCATGCTAAGCACTTTATAAACATGACCTCATTTAACAGCACCTAGGAGGCAGGTTCTATTCTTATCCCCAGTATACAGACGGGGAACTGAGGCTCAGAGACAGAAAGTCACTAGTCTGAGGCCACACAGCCAGGGAGTGCTGGGGTCGGGATTCAGACCCTAGTGTTTCTGACTCTAGATCATGTTTGACCTTGGGTTTGCTCAGAAAAAACTGAGTCCTCAGCCTTCTCTTTCAATATACCGAGACCCAGTGCTCAGAGGAAGGCGACGTCTTTCCTCCAAGCAACGCAGCCTTGCGCTGGCCCCTTCCTCTCTGGGGGCGCTTGGGCCCTGCCACTTGGGGTGCCTGGGTCCCCGGCCACCCATGGCACACGTAAGCTCTGTTTTCCGTTTCAGGGGCGGACCCCGAGGAGACCATTCTCAACGCGTTCAAAGTGTTTGACCCCGAAGGCAAAGGGGTGCTTAAGGCTGATTAGTGAGTGGGGTCTGGGGGAGGGGGGTTCCTGCCTCCCACCCCACATACACCCGACACCAACAGCTGCTCTCTCTCTGCAGCGTTCGGGAGATGCTGACCACGCAGGCGGACAGGTTTTCCAAGGATGAGGTAACGAAGTCCTTTGGCCACTCCCTGCACCCCAGTTCCTGGGCTCGCCCTCCAGGGGGCTCCACCTCCCTCTCTTGTCTAAATCACCCCTGATCCCCCAGCGATAGAGAACTAGCTATCGTTTACTGAACACTTGCTCGTTGCATTCTTTCAACCACCCTCTGAGGTAGGGACTAAGGTTATTGTCATTTTATTCAGATAGGGAAACTGAGGCCCAGGGAAGTAAAGTCACTTGCCAAAAATATCAACACCAATGCTAAATGCCAGAGCCTGGATTCAAACCCAGGTCTGTCTGACTCCAGGTTCTGCCTTCCTCACAATGCATAGAGACCTGGTTAGAGAATCAGTTTACTATAGCGTGAGGGTCTGCCACATACAGTCGTGTAAGTTGTGCACTGCACAACCCTCTGGAATACCAGTCTCATAAAATTCATCGTACACTGTATATTTGGTTTTGTAACAGTTTTTCCAGCAGGTGGCAGTAAAGTGTCTTGTTAATAATTTTTAAAAAATCAGTATATATGAAATTTTTCTGGCAGGTGCAGTAATGTGTCTGGAAGAAGGGGCGCTTTGGCTAATTTGCCAAGGTTCTACATGAGGAAGCAATGGTCCTGCTGACCTTATCAGTGAACCTTAATGAGCTTATTTAAAATAGTCCCTGTGTAGCCTCACATTTTACTAAAAATTGTATTTAGATTTACCCCTTCCCAAAACTCAAGCAGTTAAAAGAGCTGCCTTCGCCTTCCCCCAGCTGTGTGACTTTGGACAAGCTCCTTAACCCCTCTGTGCCTCAGTTTCCTCATCTGTAAAGTGGGGATAATAACAGAACCTACCTCACAGTATACTGTGAGGGTTCAACACGTTAATCTGTGTTAAAGTGCTGACATGTGTAAGGGTAATGTAAGTGTTAACTAGTAACTAGATGATGCTTTTTTAAAAAAAAAAATAATAACTAGCCAATACTTTTTAAATGGAGAAACCGCATGTAAAAAAAAAAAAAATCTAGATTTCTGACCTCCCTGCCCATGTGGCCACATGCAGCTGGCCATGAGCAGCTGTCACCTCTGAAGATGGGCCACGTGTCTCCATTTAGCCACGGTACCCACCTGGCCCGTCTTTCTCCCTTACAGAAACTGCCCTTGGAACACTCGAGTTCTCGATCCTTGCTTTACCCTGGTTGAAGGCTGGGTTTCTAGAATATCCCCGCAGGACGTTTCCCTGGGAGGGCGCGCGGGGTCCGTGCCTGGGGAAGGAAGGGCAGGGAAGAGGGAGTGCGTGGAGGGAGGCGTTGAGCCAAGGATAAGGCTCGAAGACAGCCATGGCCGACTCCCCAGGGGGCTGGGGGCTAGCAGAGCCCTTCGGAGAAGTCCCAGGTTGGGTGAGGTGGCTGGGCCCATATACCCCTGGCTGTGGGCCGCCCCCGGAAGGGCATGACCTTGGGAGAGGCGTCTCGCTGCAGCAGCTGGGCAACAAGTCCTTCCCGGGAGGGGCTCTGAGTGGCCGTCCCCGCACCCCCACGCCCCAGCTGCCGCTCCACTTGGCCCCGACTTCCTGGTTCCCGTCCCCTCGTCCCCAGCCCATCCTGCTGGTTGATTGCAGGTTGACCAGATGTTCAACGCCTTCCCCCCCGACGTGACTGGCAACCTGAACTACAAGAACCTGGTGCACATCATCACCCACGGAGAAGAGAAGGACTAAAAGGGGCTCATCTCTGCAGGGTGGGCTCTGCCTTCCCCTCTCTTCCTGCTGGCCACGCAGCTGCCCCTACTTATCCACCTCCGTCTTCTTTGCAGCCGGGGTGGCTTGTGGATACCACATGGCCACGGGCACTGCAGATGGAAATCCACCCAGAGCCCAAGTTCAAATAAACAGGAGGTCGCGTATATGGTCATGGTGCTCCTCTGACAGATAGAAGCACCTTGAGTAAGAAAAGCAAAGGTGGCACATAAGCCAGTGATGGCCCTGCTGTCATTATTATTATTATTGAATCTTAGTGACTCTTTATTTAATGTAGACCTTTGCAGCCACTCAGGACTGTTTCCTCAAAGGCCACATCTTAATGGAATGTCACCTGGATGAACACAGCCCTTCCTCCCTTCCAGAGAGCTCGAGCATGTATAGGCCTAGCTTCCATGACATCCGTTCCTTTGGGACACCACCAGGATGTTTCTCCCATAGGTATGTTAACATGGGCCCCATGACAAGGAAAGGAGGTGGCCTCACACACATGCTAAGAATGTGGCTCATTTGACAAAAATCACATCTGCTAATCATAAGAGATTGATTACTAGTTTCAGATAAAGTAGAAGCTGTCTTCACTCCTCTCCTGGCAAACTGTGGGAGGGGTACTGATTTCTGACCCTCTCTGGGGTCCAGGCCTGGCTGTGAGTGGACCCTTGATTTTGAGTGACCAAAGTCATGGCTGCAGCATTCAGGTCTATTATGGCTGCAAGAATCCCAACTTAGGAAACAAATGGGTTCACAGAACTAAGAAGTCCGAGGGCTTCAAGCACAGCTGCATCCAGGTCAAACACTGCAGTCAGAACCTGAGGCCTCTCCACTGCCCTGCTTTCCTTCATGTTGCTCCGCTCTCAGCGGTGGCAGAAAAGCTGCCAGCAGCTCCTGGCTGCCCTCTATCCCCTCAGCAGTCCTAGTGCAAAGAGGGCCTCTCCCTCTCACCAGCTCCACACAAGCATCGGGACAGGGGCCCCTGGGGTCTCTCCAGGACCTGAGCAGCCCCAGCCAATCTCAAGGGGCTGGGAGGTGCAGGCTCTGCGGGCAGGCCTGGGTCACACGATCAACCCTCGTGCTGGGGCTGCCATCAGCCCCCTCCCGACCACGCGGGCAGGTGGGAGGGGGTGGCCCGGAAGGAAAACCTAGACGGAGCGGAAAGGAGGCTTCGGGCGCTCAGAGCTTTCAAGAGAATCCCCAGAACCCAGGACACAGCTGAAGTCAATGCCTTGCTGGGAAAGAAGAGCCAGAACAGGGGGTGGGAGTGGAGCTGGGGGCACGTGGGAGGGAGGAAGGGCGGCGGCGGAGCCGGAACCGGGAGGGTCTTCGCGGCTCTAGAATAGCTACAGCGCCACCCCTGGGAGGCCCTCGGGGCCAGGCCGCCGATGCAACTGATGCAATCGCCCCCTGGCCGCCGCGGACTGGGCCCCTGGGTGGGGGGACCCAGGGGAGTCAGCGCCCCCACCCCCGTGACCCAGGATGACCCGCAGCCGCGCGGCCTCCGTTCGCTCCAGGGACGGCCCGGGCCGCGAACCCAGGACCTGGGGCTCCCGGGAGACTGAGTCAGGACGCTCTCCAAGGGCCGCCTGTGGTTCAGGGCCAGACACTTCTGTGAGCCGCTCGCCCGCGAGAGACACCGAGACACACACGTGCACACGCAGCCTCCGCGGCGCCCGCCCGCCCGGGTCTGCCACGCCCCACGTGGTTCCGCGGTCTCCGGGGCAATACTGTGGCTCCCACGTGGCCCCCGCACCCTGCCCGTCCCTGCTTCTCCGGGTGGCCCCTGGTGAGGGCAGACCTGTGCCCGTCACCTCCTCAGAGCTTCTCGGGGGCCGTGCGGACCCCACGCAATTCCTGCCCCCCGTGCCAGCTTTCGAGCCCCCCTCCTGCTCCTCCCCGCCACCCCCAGGGGCTCCCGCACCCCAAGGCTCTTGGCCGTGAGCTTGCGGAACAAAACGTTTATTCTTTCCGGTTATGGTACAAATGCGGCCTCGTCACCTCACATCGTCAGCTTCTTCCTGGACCTCAGCTCATCCGCCTTCTCCGGCAGACTGTCCAGGCGCACATCCTGATTCCGAGCCTCTCTCAGGACGAAATTGTCCAGCACGAACTGCCGCAGGCTGCTGTGGTCCAGGGGCTGCTCAACTGCACCAAGGCAAGATGGTGAGGTGTTTAGAACTCAGACCTAGCTCTGGGGCTGCCCTCCCAGGGACTGGGTCTCTCTGTCTTGTTCATGGCTGCCCGAGCCTGCTTTGATGTAGCTCTGTGGCACAGCGTGAAAATGCTCAGGTCTCAGGGAGGGGAGGATGGGCACGAGTGTCCTTCTCAGGGATGCCCAGACAATGACTGCTTTTTTTCTCCCAGACACGGATGTGAAGGATGTTTGGTTTAACATCAAGGGCACAGGTCCAGCATGTGCAGTTGTTCAGGATGTGCACTGCACAAGGACACCAAGAGGTGAATGGATGGGCTGAAATCTAGCCCCTACTTGACTGTGAAGCCATTGTCTACCCAGAGGGGGCCCCTTTTCCTAATTCATCTACCCAGAAGTAGCACCTCTTCTAATTGACACCTACAGGCCACAGGGGCTAGGGGCTAGGAGAACACAGTGTTTACCAACATTCTCTTGAACGGAAGTGCAGACGTTATCTGTAAGTTCCTGATCTTGTGAGGACAGCTTTCCCAGCCGCTGTGTCCCACCCCACCCCCAGCCCTGACCTTTTAGGAAACTCCAAAGGGCCAAGGGAGTTGTGCCAAGGTGTGTGACATCTAACTTAGCTTTCATACCCGCTAAAACAAAGGGGAGCTGTGTGCGTGTGTCTGTGTGGTGGGGGTCTGCTCCCTCCATCCTGAGCACTCCTGAAATGCTGCAGTGACATCGTCATAGCTCGCTGCTACCTCCAACTCCTGGCTCAAGCGATCCTCCTGCCTCAGCCTCCCGAGTAGCTGGGACTACAGGCGCATGCCATCATGCCCAGCTAATTTTTCTAATTCTAACAGAGACAGGGTCTCACTCTTGCTCAGGCTGGTCTCCAACTCTGCCTCAGCCTCCCGGAGTGCTAGGATTACAGGCGTGAGCCAACACACCCAGCCCCAAGGTTCTTTTAAAATGATTAAAAAGTAGTTGTAATCTTTAAAACAATACACAGGATAACTAAACTCTGGCATCTATGGCCAGGTCACCCTTACACCATAGGAAGTGGAGTCCACAAGTGAAGGATGCCAGGTGGCCACAGCCAAAATGGTACCCAAGGGAAATGACAGGCCATGAGGGCTCATCAAGACAGGGAAACTGAGGCCCAACACTGCAGCCCTCTCAGGCGCCTGGACACAGCATCCCCAGCCCTGAAGGCACAAGTTTTCTAGGAACCTCAACCCAGCGACCTGCACCAATGGGAAGAGAGAGAGAGAGAGAGAGAGAGAGAGAACTCACCATCATCCAACCTGTCGCTGAAGGGGTCGGCCCCAAGCACGGGCGGGATAACCTTGATGGGTTCTGGGGGCTTGAGGAGGCCAGAGCCGCCCCAGAAGGGGTTGACAAAGGGCGTCAGGATATGGGTCTCAGCCCTGTCCACGTCCAGGATCCGCCTGTAGGACTCCAACACCAGCAGGTCGTTGGTCTTCTTTTCAATGATGGCTGGAAAACAAGAAGCAGGACCAGGATGGCTGCCCCGAGACCCGTTCCTGGGGGTGCCGCCCCCCGCTGGACAGGAAGGGAAGGACAGGAAGTGCAGGGGGAAGGTCACAGGCTCCTACAAGGACATGGGCTTTCTCCTGGCTTACACCAGACATTCTCATGGGGACATCTCCCTTGGAGGGTGAAATGTGGTTCTTGGGAGGCAAAAATCTGACTCCTTAATATATCAAGCACGGGTATACATACAGGACATAAACAGACACACGGTACATCCGTGGGCTTAAAATGTCATGAGAAGGACAATTAGGAAAAGAGTAGAAAGGCTTCTTGTGGGAGGAGGGTGATAATGAAAAGAAGGTTGAGAAACACTGGGTGACACTGAAAATTGAGAGCTGGGGACAGCCCAGCCCTACACTACTGTACTGGCTTTTCCCTAGCGCTCTCTGTCTCAGGCCTCCAGGTCTTTGTTCATGCTGTTCCTTAGTCGCAGAATGCCCTTCCCTACACCCTTGCCACAGTAACCTCTATTGGTATTTTAAGCCTTAAGCCAGGCCTCGCGCCTGCAGGAATGTTTCCCTGATCTGGCTTCTTCGGGACAGCTGCCCTTCCCACTGTGTTTCCATAGCCCCATGCGGTCACGAGACTCATTCATTTGTTCGTTCATTCATGCTCCATGCACAAATGATTAGCCATGCACCCTGCTAGATGCCGAGGATGCAATGCAAGAAAAACAAAACTGTGACAATAACAGCAACAGAGACGCAGTCCTGGCCCCAACAAAGCTTCAGTGTATACGGAGGGAAGGAGAGAAAGACAAGTTAAACCAGTGGGCAGATAAATACAGGTATCCCTCACTATCCAGATGTTCACTATCTGAATTCCGTAACTACTAGGTTTGGATTTTCTAAAAAAATAAACCTCTCACTATCCATCTGTTGCCATTCTATCTAAAAATCAGGGACCAAAAATATTTGCATCTGAAACTTGCTATTGGATCTCAGAAACCTCGTAGATTCAGACAGTGAAAGCTATCAGCAAAGAGACAAGTAACAGGACAGCCGTGAGAGGCAGCTTCAAATGGGGCAGAGGAAGGAGGCCTTGCTGGAGAGAGGACAAAGAAACTGAGATCTGAGAACAAGGAGGAACTGGGCATGAGACAAGTCTTCTAGGAACAGCCCGTGCAAAGGCCCTGAGGTGGGAATGAGAGGTGGCAGCAGTAAGGAAGACTGGAAGACAGGAGAACAGTGTGGCTAGAGGTGGTGAGCAAGGAGGGGAGAGCAGGGCTAGAGGAGATGAGAAATGTTAGCAGAGGGCAGGTGACAAAGAACCTGACAGGCCGTGTGCAGAAAGAGTTAACACAGCAGGGCTGAGGCTCTCTGTCTCCGCTGAAAGGTCACTGACCAGGCTGGCCCTTGGCTGGCATCTGGGAACTTGGATTTCAGGAGGGTCCCCCACCATCAACTGATAAGAAGTGGCTCGCCGTGCCGAAGCTGTCTACACAAACAATGTGTTTATCATGTGGTTTATGCCAAGCACCTCGTTCCCGCTTTCCCTTTTCCGACGTTGCGTTCACTGTAACAAATCCCAGCCATGGGTACGACTGTGCTGAGTCCTGTGACTCCTCCTAGCAAATCACTGAATGTGGTGGGAGGGTTGGGGGTGTTTTGGGAACCTCCCAAACACAGATAGTTTAATTCCAAGAGCAGCAGAAGCCCTTCGTTCCAAATGGTCGTGATTTCTGTAGATGTACCCCCCGCCCCCGCACGCGGAGACACCCCTGCCTCGCTCCTGATCTCAGGAGAAAAACGTTCAGCTTCCCACCACAAAGTAGGAGGTTAGCTGCAGCCTTTTGTTGTTGTTTTTGTAGATGCCCTTTATCGAGTTGAGAAAGTTTCCTTCTAGTTCTAGTTTGTTAAGGGTTTTTTAAAAATCACGAATGGGTGCTGAATTTTATCAAATGCTGCTTCTTCATCTACTGAGCTGATCATACTGTTTTTCTGTGAGAACTATTCCTTTACTTAATCCTCCCACTAATATTTTATGAGGTAGATACTAGGTTTATACCTTATTTTTTTAACAAAAAGCATCAAAAGAGACCCACTTTTTCTAGATGAAAAAAATGAAGCACAGAGAGGTTCAGAAACTTGCCCAAGGCCCCACAGCTAGTAACGGTAGGGCCGGGATTCAAACCCAGGCAGGTGGGCTTCAGTGCCACACGTGTCACCACCAGGCTCACTACCACCGAAAGAACAAGTCCTCGTGCCTGGTCACAGAAAGCTCTGGAAATGGTTCCTAAGAGTCCGACGGGCCCCAGCTTGACTCACCAAAATACTGAGGAAGGTTGATGTCGGTGATTTTCCCCGTCTCCCCTAACTGCACCAGGACCTTGGTGGCGTCACAGTTTATCTTCTTAAACAGATGCTCCACCGAGTCCCTGAGATGCTCCAGGGTCTTGCTGATCTCGCTGCATTTGCTCTCGTACTTATCCGCCTCCTCCGTGGTCTTCTTCAATTTCTCCTGGTGGCAGAACCCAGTTCTCACCACGGGTCAGCCTCCCAGGGGGATATTCAGGGGAAAGGGGCTTGGGGGAGCCTCAGGGGCCAAGGTCTCCAAGCCACAGGTTTTCAAACCTCTCAGGGGGCATGAGGTCCACTTCATGAACTTCCGTCATGTTTTTTAAACAATGAAATAGAACAGTGAAGACGGGAAGGGAAATACTATGTGCATTAGGGTCATGGGGATGAACACTGTCTAACGTAGGCTTCACTTCCATGGATGTATGTGTATCTGCAGGTGTCCTGGGTTGTAGTATTTTTAAAAAGCTATTGACTCGTTTTTTTAAAAGCCCAAAGAGATACATTGCAACCCACTGCATACAATGTACATGTGTGTATATTTATATATATTATCTAATCAAAGTTTCACAAATTATACACACACACACACACACACACACACATATATATATATTTTTACAGATAGAGTCTCATTGTGCTGCCCAGGCTGGAGCACAGTGGCGTCAGCCTAGCTCACAGCAACCTCAAACTCCTGGGCTCAGGGGATCCTCCTGCCTCAGCCTCCCGAGTAGCTGGGACTATAGGTGCCACCACCACACCAGCTAATTTTTTTCATTTTTTATAGAGATGGGGTAGGGGGTTATCTCGCTATCTTGCCCAGGCTGGTCTTGAACACCCCGCCCCAAGCGATCCACCTGCCTTGGCCTCCCGAAGTGCTGGGATTACGACCATGAGCCTCTCTGTGCCTGGCCTATTAGCTCACTACTTGTAAACGCTGGCTGCCATCCCATTAACTGATTTCACCATCCCCAGTTTAAAATACATTGCCCTAGCCCGGCGGTTCTCAAAGTGTGGTCCCGGGACAGGCAGCACCAGCTTCACCTGGGAACTTGCTAGAAAGGCACGTGCTTCCCCCCGCCCCCGCCCTGCTGAACGAGAGGCTGTAACGAGCCTCCGGTGGCACCGCGGCACGGAGAAGTTGGAGAACCTCTGCCAGCCTGTTGGCTCTCAACCTTGGCGCCACACTCGCATCACCTGGGGGCCTCAAGAATATTTGCTGCCCCCCCAGAGGCTCAGACTTGGCCTGGGACGCCACTGGGACGCCAGCAAGTGTCAGTGCCCCCCAGGCGGTTCCGACGTGCAGCTGGGCTGGGAAGCGTGTGCTCGGGTGTGCTCTTCACCCCACTCCTTCCTCTCCCTCTGACTTCTCAGCTTGCCAAGGGGAACACGGCCCGGCAAGACCCAGCCCGGTTCCCGAGGGCGGACGCTGCATGCAGCATCCCAAATAATGATCCCAAGCGGCCAGCCCTGCCCACAGCCTCATTTCGCAGATGAAGAAACCGGGGCTCCGAGGCACACAGCCGGGAGACAGAAACTAGGGTTTGAACTCAGTGTCTCAACCACATCGGGAGGCTTCCTCTGCCCAGCTGCGGGAATATTCTCTTCCCAGAGCTGCCCTCTGTAAACGTGCATTAAAAGATTGTGTGGGTTTTTCTTTTCAGTCTCAATATCAATTTTAAAAAAAAAAAGGTCAGTGTCAACCTGATGTGGTAATACATGTGCAGCTCCCAAAACATTCCAGGCACTTTACACAAATCGTCTCATCTCAGCCTCACAATTGGCCCAGTCCTCAGATGAGGAATACTGAGGCCAGAGAAGAAAAGTGAACTTGTGTGTAGCTTCTCTGTACTGAGCTCATCCAAGGACCTGACCTTAAGCTCAGCTCTTTACTTGAGCAATGATTTAGTAACAAAATGATGGTGATTTGAGTTTTTCCGACTTACAAGGTAAATGATAATTTTGCTACTATTTATTGCTCTCTGTGCTGCCATGTGCCAAGCGTGTACGTGCACGATTTTATTCAACCTTCGCAGCCCTAGGAAGTAGGCACGAGTATATCCCTATTTTATAGATGAGGAAACTGAGGCTCAGAGAGGCTAAGTTAGTATCTCAAAGTCACGCAGCTAGGAAGTGACTTTTGTGAGAGTCATACCCAGGCTCCCAGGGCCTGGCTGCTTAACTCCTATGCAAAACCCTCCCATCATGGGAGTGGTCCCACCACTTCTCCCAGAGGGCAGGAGATGATGAAATGGGAGGTGTTGGAAAGGCTTCCAGGATAGAGCAGGTGGAAGCGATCTTTAGCAGGGATAAGAAACATCTGTGAGCCCCCTGCTAGCAAGACGAATTCTCCTTAGAGTATTTGCATTTGGAAAGAGGCTCCCCAAAAGTCATGCTAAGCCAAAGAAACAAAAAGCTAATGAGGGGACTTCAGGCAGAGGCTGGGGGGATGTTTGAGGTTGCCGGGGCAACCTCTCCCAAACCCCAAGATGTAGAGAGAGCAGCACCGGTCTCAACCCCAGCAAGAGTCTGGACTCTGGGCGGTCCCCTGAAACCATGTGGGACCCCAAGCATGTGCCCAACTTCGGGAGGGTCTCTGTGGACCTGGACCCTGCCTGAAAGTCTGTAAGCCCCCACACCCGGTTCCTGGGAGATGTCTCTGAGCCGGAACCCTCAACAGCAGCGTGTGCCGTGGTGCTTTGCTGCCATCCAGTGGCCAAACAAGAGAATGACACCACCATCCCGGTCTACCAGGTGCATGCCAAGGACAGAAATAAGCCACAAAGAAGGGAAGGGAAATGACCCAGGAGCGTAGTTCCTGGGCCAGGAACTACTGGATTAGAAGAGGGCTTTGCAGTCTGAGTTCATATCTTTGTCAGATATTTGCTATCCATATCCCCCTTATGCCTTAATAAACCCTGATTTTATTTAGGGTGGCAATGTGACCAGCTGAAAGCTACATTTCCAAACTTCTCTGGCAACAGGGATGGCCAATGAGATATAAATACAGAAGTCATTGGCTGAAACTTCTGGGAAACACCTTTTAAGCTGGCTGACTTAGCTACCAAGATCTTTGTTCCCCTACCCCACTTTGTTCCTGTCTGGAATGTGTATGTGATGTCTGGAGCATCTGTGAGCCCATTGCTAATAAGACAAATTCTCTTATGACCCAGAACTGCGCTCCTGGGTCAGTCATTTCCCTTCCCCTGTTTGTGGCTTATTTGTGTCCTTGGCATGCAACCCGGTAGACAGGGATGGTGGTGTCATTCTCTTGTTTGGCCACTGGATGGCAGCAAAGCACCATGGCACACGCTGCCTGTTGCGGGTTCTGGCTCACAGACATCTCCCAGGAACTGGGTGTGGGGGTTTACAGACTTTCAGGCAGGGTCCAGGTCCACGGAGACCCTCCCGAAGTTGGGCACTTGCTTTGGGTCCCACGTGGTCCCAGGGGCAGCTACAATGCAACAATCAGGCACCCGTGGAATATAAACCAAACACTAAGCGTGGCAAAACAGAAAAATAGATGATGCCTGGGCCACTGATGACATCATGAAGGCACCATACCAGCCCTGAAGTATCTATTTTCAGACTTATTTCTTAAATAAAATTCTGTCTTGCTCAGGCCACTGTCATTTTGGGTCCCTGTTATTAGCAGCTGAATACAATTCAAAGCTCATATGAAATCCCTGCTCCTTGATATTGGTCACGTGACTTTACCTCTGCGAACTTAGTTTGCTCATCTGTGAAATGGATAGATCAATACACCTGCCTCGCAGGGTGGTTGTGAGGATTCCATGAGATGCTGCAAGCAAAGCACTTAGCCCAGGGCCTGGTACACAGTAATTGCTCAGGAAACCTTTGCACTTGCTCTTACTGATTGAGAACAGGACACGGCCAGGACAAAGGGGACACAGAGAGGCTGAGGCAGAGATCCATCTGGAAGGAGCCTGTCAGGGATGAAATTACGGGCCCAATGGCCTGGGCTAGACTCCCTGAAATGGGGCCATGGGTCTAGGGACAAAATCCTGCAGCAATACCTGTAGCAGAGGCTGCCTGTGATAAAGGGTCGGGACATGTCTGGATGTGACTCAGGCCAGTCTCAAGTCATGGGGCAGACATCTTGCCGCCCCTGAGAATTGGCTGACAGAACGCCCGTCTGACAGACAGACAGAAAGACAGGCAAGGGAGGCTCCTGCGTCCCTCCCTCTGCATGCTGGTCTTACCTCCAGCTGTCTCAGGACAGAGTGGCTGTCATCGTGGGACAGTTTCTGCTGGGATCGCAAGTCGATGATCTCGTTCTGCCCGGGAGAGAGTCAGAACATAAGGAAAAGTGGGGGTGCCCCTTCCCCCCATGCCTAAAAATAGCCTGCGCCCCAAGGCATGGATGAGGATTTAAATTCTCCGTTTCAAGGAGCCCCAGACCCTGGGCCCCTCTTATGCCCGCAGGGGTTCTTTCTGATGTTTCTTAATTAAAAGGAGGGTGAGGGCATGGCATGGGGGTGGTTTATTCTTCCTGGAAGACCGTCTGGAACAGCGCAGGCAATAGTTTTACTTCAGTGGTGGCAACGTCCTATCTGCTAATATTGTAGTCACTAGCCACACATGGGGGCTGAACACTTGAAATTGTATTTAGTTTCGATTAATTTGACTTAAATACCCACAGGTGGAGAGTGGCTACTGCACTGGCTGGTGCGGCTCTAGAGAAGAGGGCTCAAACTCTGGCAAGAATCAGAATCACCTGGAAAATTGTAAAAACACGCTTGCTGGGCCCCACGCCCCGGGGCTCTGATTCAGAAAGTCTGGGGCGAGGTCTGAAAACGCACGTTTCTAACTAGTTCCCAGGTGACCCTGATTTTGCTGCTCTGGAGACCAGCTTTTGGGACCACTGGGCTCGAACGACGTGTCCTATATAAAAGGCACATGCCGCTTGAGCCAGTCCATCCCCAGGGATCGTACCATGGAAACAGGAGGACAAGTGGCAGAGATGGGTTCTCCGTGCTGCCTGTTGTGTTACTGTTTATAAGGGCCCCCAGTTAGGGACAATCCACATGTCTGCTGATAGGAGATCAGTTAAACCAACGATGGTACATTCATTCAACAGGGGGGAGAGATCTCAAATAAAAATGTGGCTAAAATGCAGATTCCTGGCCCATCCACAGAGAATCTAGGCCTGTAGGTAGGAGACAGGGCCTGGGGAATCTGTGTTTTTAAAAAGCATCTTGTGATTCTACTACAGGGCATTGGGGTCGCCAGAAGCCATTAAAAGGAACATGGAAGATGTTGGGAGGTATCCATGGTAAATCAGGAAAGAAAGTTTACAAAGCAGCATGCACTGTCCAGTACGATCCTAGGACTATCAATAAGCATCCAGGTATCCGTGTGTGAGGGTGCATGCGTGTGCACGTGTGTAAGTGCACGCTGCCTTCATCAAACAATGTCACCACAATGTTAATTATCTCCCAGTGGTGGTGTCTTGGTGACTTTTACTTTTTCTTTATATTTTTCTGACTTGCCTACATTTCCCCACAGTGACGTGCTGGAAAATGAGCTTCAGGGCCCCAGCGCCTTTGCGCAGACCTTCCCTGCAATACCGCAAATGGCCACCAGAGGGCAGCGGTGGCCCGCCCAAACCCGCCGTCGCAACCTCAAAGGCCGACTGCGTCCGCGGGCCTCGAGCACGTCACACCCCGCGGCGGGCGGCGGTTAACGGGGAGCGAGGGCCTGGCCCGTTCATAGGGACTCAGATGCCCGCAGGAATGTGGGCCGGAGTTGGCAGATCTGATTTTCCAAGAGAAACCAGAAATTCAGATTTTCATATAGAATATCCTGATACTTAAATGTTGGCAACAAATGAATTAATAAATGGGGCGGGGGGGGCGGGGATGGAGGAGACCAAACGAAAGAAGGAAGGCAGGATTCAGCTGTGACCTCCGACCCCAGCCATCTAGGCAGGGGCGAAGTCAGATGTTAGAATCCTAATCATTTTTAATTAAAAAAAAAAAGCGTGTTTAGAACCTGGACCCAATGCGAGCAGAGGTTCCACAAGAGCGCAGAAAGCTAGGGTCCCAGGCGCCCGTCCCATCGCCCTTTCGTCCGGGACCGCTCCATTTAATCTGTTTTGTATTAGTTTCCTAATAACACCGTCCACACAAAAACGTTTTGTAGCTTTTATAGAAAAGTTTGGAAGCTACTCCTCTAGTCCAAACACGTGTGTCATTCTACAGACGGGGAGACTGAGGCCCGGGGCAGACACACTCGTCCTAAGAACAGCCGCGTGGCTGAAGGAGGAAAGGAGAGCACCCCGCGGAGAAGGGGAGGTCAAGGTCAGCTCCGCGGAGGAACCACTTCCGGTGCCTCCCACAGGGTGCGGCCGCATCCTGGGCACAGGGAGCCGCCGTCGCGCTGTCCTCTGGAACATGCCCCTCCAGGAGGGGGACAGAAAGCGACTCTCTACTCCGTCCCCTACACACGGAGCGGGGCGTCCTCCATTTGCTTCCGGATCCACCTCCCCGCTCACCACCCGGGACCCGCAGGGCCCCTCGAGCTCCGGTTCCGGTTCCGGTTGGGCGCAGCCAATGGGAGGCGCCGGATTAAAGGGTGAAAGGAGAGGGCGGTGGGGTCTTTGCGCCCCTGGCAGGTCCCTGGTTTGGCCGCGTCCCTCCAGGGGCGCACTGCGGCGAGGGGCCTGCAGCCTTCTCCACACACCTCTCTCCTGGTTCCAGAAACTTCTCCCATCCCTCACCCTTTGTGGAGCCCACCCTTGCTGGTCCTGCACTCTTCCGTCTTAATTTCCTTGGACCTTAGTAAACAGTCCTTTTTTAAAAACGCTCCTCCATTTCCTCATTTCGACTGTGCCATCTGTTTCCTGTGACAGCCCTAACTGACAGAACCAACTTAATTGCTGCCATTGTCACCTCCCACCTGGACTATTATTATCTAAAAATATCTAGGATTATTTATTACGAGTTCTCTTGAAATCAACCAGTTTTATTTTATTATGTTTATTATTCTGTGTTTACTGTTACTACTTATTACCCTAAGTAGCACCCATTAAATCACAAGTTTGCTCTGAAAGCCATATTTTTCCTAATACTCATTAAGATTAGTTCATCGCTAATAAACAAAAATGTTTTCATGTATATTCTAGTTGCAATCTATTTGCACATGGCCGGCATACACACCCCCCCATTTGGAAAACAGTGACATATTGCAAAGCAGAGCTCCCCTTGTCATATAAACACAGGACAGGGACCTCAGAAGAAGGAGTAATGAATCCCCAGAGGGGGTGACATTTGTGCTGGGTCAGGACTAATGAGCAGGATTTCATCAGAAGAGAAGGGTGGGGGAGGGAGAGGTAACAGCACCAGGAGAGCATCAGAGGAGGGAAATGCCTAGGACAGCTGGGACTGGCAGCTGGTGCCTTGGCCAGAGGGTGCCCAGGGGGTTGTAATATGACCTGAGCCTTCAAAGGCAGGTTGAGCCTCATTTTGAAGGGATTTTGAGTGTCACACTAAGGGGTTTAGACTCTTTTCTGTGCGGACAGTTCCAAAGGATGTTTGTTTATGTTCTGGGGAGTATGTAGCCCAGGAAGCCAATTAAGTTTGGGAAATTATGGTTCAACAAAGGTAAACAGGTTTCTTTACTGCAGGACTTGTCAGAGCCTTTACTGTGCTCATATACATCAAGTCTCTCCAAGATGACAATTCCCCATCTCTCCTCACTTCTAGGAAGCTATTGATTACCAGGGAGCCAAACTTTTAAGGCAAAGGGCCAGATATAAATATTTTCTGCTTTGCAGTTCTCTTGTATATTTTTATTTTTTTTCTCTAACACTTTAAAAATGTAAAAATCATTCTTTTTTTTTTTTTTTGAGACAGAGTCTCACTGTGTTGCCCAGGCTAGAGTGCCGTGGCATCAGCCTAGCTCACAGCAACCTCAAACTCCTGGACTCAAGCGATCCTCCTGCCTCAGCCTCCCGAGTAGCTGGGACTACAGGCATGCGCCACCATGCCCGGCTAATTTTTTCTATATATTTTTAGTTGTCCAATTAATTTCTTTCTATTTTTAGTAGAGACGGGGTCTCGCTCTTGCTCAGGCTGGTTTCGAACTCCTGAGCTCAAACAATCCTCCCGCCTCGGCCTCCTGGAGAGCTAGGATTACAGGCGTGAGCCACCACACCCGGCCAAAAATTGTTCTTAATTCATGGGCTGTACAAAAACAGCCAGGGGCTGTAGTTTACTGAACCCTGGGTTATAAAACATACTATGGATTATAAATGTCACTGTTGGGGGTGGGGGAGACATGAACACATTCAATGCACATAGCAATTGAAAAGGTAATGTGTAGGGGGAAGGCTGGGGAAATATAGCAGCGTTTGCCAAATGGATTTGACCTTGAGGCCCTTTTTCTGCAGAGCGTCTCGTGGAGCCTTCTAAGGAGCCTGTTTTGGGGAAGGCTGCTATGGGCACAGGGGTGCCAGGCCTAGGGAACCAAGAGCTGCCCCCACCTGGATACTCTGGGTCTTCTTTTGCATCATCTCCATGTCATTGTTGAGCTCCGTGACGTACGTGAACCGAGCAAAGTTCTTCTCCTCCTTGGCCAGAAATTCCTCAACGAGCTGGTTCAGGTCCCCGGTCTCAATGAGCTTCATCAGCCGGAGGTGGGCCACCTCGTAGCTCTCAAAACTCTCTCCGTTGCTCTTCTTGCTGTACTTCTTTGCTTTGAGAGCTAGGGAAGGAAACACCAGCCACAGTGAGTTTCAAAAGGCAGCCCCTCGGACCCGTGCCAGGCAGCTAGGGTGTGATCGATATTGTGACATTATGCCTTGGGGAGGAGGCTCGATTTTTCTGGGAGGTGGGCAGAAGCTTCCCTCGTCACTCACTTCACAAATATTGAATTAAGCATTCATTACGTGCCAGACACTGTACTAGGCGCCACTGATACAAAACCTCTGCCCCGTGGAGCTTTTAGTGGGGGAATCAGACAAGAAGAAAGAATGAAAGAAAGATATCCAAGTCAACAGAAAAATAAATCCAGTAATTACCATTGTGGCCGGAAAGGGACCATTAAATGCTGTAATGGGCGTTCTGCTTTAGATGGGTGGCCATGGACGGCCTCTTTGTAGAGGCGACATTGGAGCAGGATGAAGGTCGAAGAAGTGGCCAAGGAAGACCTGGGGGCAGAGGGCCTTAGGAAGGCTCAGAGCTTGGTGAATTCAAACAACGAGAACGAAGAAAGTTCTCGGAGCTGCGTTTTCTCCAGCCTGGATGCCTGCAACAGCCCCAGCTCTCCTGGACCCCGTCTGTCTCTCTGATTCAGCCTCCATACAGCAGTCGGGAGGATCTTTCTAGGCACATCTGGCCACATGACCCCCACCCTTACATGTTGTGGCTTCCCACTGTCCTTGGGTTAAAGTTTCTCAGCATCATTTAAGACCCTCAGCAACTTGTTACCCCCAGACTCTGTCATGACTTTGCCTAAATCCTCTGATGATTTCCAGCCACACTTAGGGTAAATGTTCTGCTCCCCAAGACAGCCTGCGAGGTCCTATGTGACCTGAACCCTTCCCAATCTCATCTCCTGCCATGCTCCTGCCAGCGCGGACGCATGCTAGCCACACTGGCCTTCTCTCTGTTCTTTCCGGAACACCACCGCATTCATACCTCAGGGCCTTTGCACTTGCCGCGTCCTCAGCCTGGGTTGCTCTTCTCCCAGGTCTGGTCCCCTCGTGTCATTCAAGCCTTTGCCCGAGCGGCAGGCCCACCCTGACCACCTGGATGAAGCAGCCCCCTTCACTGCCCATCGGTTATCTTCTTCATCATGCTCAGTGGTTCCCGAGATAATAGATTCACGGCTGCATTGGCTTATTTCTTGTGTCCCCAGTAGGTCAACTCCGGGAGGGCAGGATTCCATCTTATTCCACTGTGTCCCTTACACCACACCCAGTTCCCGGCCCGCGGTGGGGATAAAGCGATGGTCCTGCTGGAGTGGTCCCTGCTGTCTCTGCAGCTTCACCTCCGCACTCCGGTCAGCCCATTCCCACCTCTGCTCCTTGTCTTGGCTGGTCCCTCTGCCGGGATGTCTCGTTCCCACACAACTAGAGTCCTTGGGGTCACAGGCGGAATGTCCCTTCTTCAGACACCTTCCTCAGCTACTCTGTCCAAAAGTATTCCATCTCAGTCCCGTGTTTTCTCCCTCCGAAGGTTCTACCACAGCTTGAAATCTTTGCATTCATCTATTTTCTTGTTTTGTTTTTTTTCCCCTATGTCTCTGTATCTAGAATGGAAGCTCCAAGCCATCAGGGCTAGTGTTACCTTGGTCCCTGCTGTCTCCCAGCCCCTAGCGTGGTGCCAGCTTCAGGGTAAGCGATCATTAAAATTTGTTGAATGACTAGGAATGGATCCACTGGGTGGATGAATGAAGGGGTGGGCAGATTGCAGAGAATGTAGCCCTGAAGGATCCCTTTGAGGGCAGCTTGGAACAGGAGGCCGGAGGCAGGGGGAGGCCCAGCAGAAGCTGCCGGGAGGAAGGCAATGGGGATAATGCCAAGACTGAGGTGTGAGAAGAAGGAGAATGGATGTGACATTCGAGAATCAAAAAGACGTAGGAAAAAAAAAAACTGGTGGAATCGTGAAGCTGCTCACTGGATACAGAGAGAGTAGACAGGACCTCCGGCTTTGGGAGGCACACACGTCTGGGATGGGGCCTGGGTCTGCTGCTTAAGCTGCCGGCCCTTGGCTTGGTCCTATATCCACTCTGAGCTGCAGCGTCTCATCTACAAATGGGGCATATGAATAATAATGTCTACTTCTTAGAGTGGTGAGGACCAGATGGAAACCGTGCGTGCTGAGCACTTAGAATAGAAGCTCGCACGAGCTAGTGGCTGGGTAAATGGATGGAGCGATGGATGATTGGAGGACGGGAGGAGGGGCGAGTATGTGACTGGACCGATGGATCGATGACTGGACTGATAGATGGTTGAGCTGATAGACGGATGGAGGGATGAAAAGCTTTTGGTGGTTTTTGTTATTTTAGAGAGTAAGAGATGGGAGTTCCTCAGGAACACACTTCTGGCAATACTGGCCCAAAGGATAAGACAGGAAGAGGCAGAAGAGACAGAAAGTACAAACGTAGCTGCACAGGGGGGTCGCAGAAGAGCTCAGATTTTTCAGTCTGTTCAGAAGAGAGTTAACAGAGCAGGTCTGAGGTTGCTGTCTTCAGAAAGGTCTGGCTGCGAGGTTGACCCTTGGTGGGCATCTGGGAACTTGGCTGGTAAACAGCTCCCTCCATGACACAGAACTTTCCCTGGGTGACAAGAGCGGCTCACTGTGTCTGGGCTGCAAGGACAGCGTGCTTTAGGCGGGACACCTGCTTTCCCTCTGGGTGTCTGGAATTTTGGTGTGTGCTGGGCAGAGGCTGCCTACATGACCCGCCCCCAGTAAGAATTCAGGGCACTGAGTCCCTGCTGTGCTCTCCTGGTGGGCAGCTCATCACGCGTATTGTCACAACTACATGCTGGAGGAATTAAGGGTGTTCTGTGTGACTCCTCTTGGAAGCTGGTGCCTAGTTTCCTCTGGACTCCGCCCCATGTCCCTTCTGCCTGTGCTGTTTTGTCTTTGTGTCCTTTCACCGTGATACATCGTAGCCGGGAGTGTGTCTATATGCTGAGTCCCGCATGTCCTCCCAGCGAATCATCAAACCTAGGGACGATCTCAGGAACCCCTGACACACAAGTCTCTCCCTAAACAGTAGGAGAGCCCAGACTGAGGACACATCCTACAGGTGAGGGTTGGCCCAGTTAAATTTGAATTTTGGACAAAGAATACAATTTTTAAAGTATCAACACGTCCCAGTTATAGACAGACAATGAATAAATATTTTATTATAAGTAAATCCCAAATACTGTCTGGGACATACTTATCCTAAAAATTTATTGTTTATCTAGAATTTAAATTTAACTAGGCATCTTGTGTTTTTATTTGTTAGATTTGGCAACCCTACTACAAGGAGACTGGGCACCTTGGAGAGAGAGAGAGAGAGAGAGAGAGAGAGAGAGAGAGAGAGCGTGCAGGGACGCACGCACATGCACCTAGCGCGCGTACCTTCTTCCTCTTTGGCCTGCTCCTCGAATTCCGTGCGGTCATTCAGCTTGCTGAGCAGGAAGGACTTGAGCTTGGTCTCGTGGGCATAGAGACGCTCCAGCTCTCGGATCTCCAGGTTGTACTGCGAGATGTCCTTCTGCTGGCGCTCCTTCATGGCAGCCATTCGGGCCATGGCCTCCAGCCTGGGTGGGGGGTGCAGAACCTGAGTGTTCGGAGGCTCCCCCCTTCTCCTTCCTTTGCCTTGCCAATCAAGGGACACTTCCTGCCTGGCCAATGACTGTCTTTTTTTTTTTAAGAGACAGGCTCTCACTCTCTCACCCAGGCTGCAGGGCAGTGGCATGATCATAGCTCACTGTAGCCTCGAATGCCTTGGCTTGAGCGATCCTCCCACCTCAGTGTCCCAAGTAGCTGGGACTACAGCTAATCTTTTAATATTTTGTAGAGATGGTGTGATGGTGTCTCACTATGTTGCCCAGGCTGGTCTCAAACTCCTGGCCCGATGTGATCCTCCCGCCTCAGCCTCCTTGAGTGCTGGGATTACAGGCGTGAGCCACCACCACCATCACCACCATCACCACCATCACCATCATCACCACCACCACCATCGTCATCACCATCATCACCACCACCATCGTCATCACCATCATCACCACCACCATCGTCATCACCATCATGATCACCACCACCGTCACCATCACCAGATACCAGCTGCTATGCCCTAGCACTCCCTTACATACATATATTATTTAACCCCTTCTACCATTCAAAGCGACCCTTCAACAACATGGTAGCGATGGAGCCAGGATTTAAACCCAGATCTGTCTGACTCTAAAACCCAGGCTCTTCGCAGCCAAACTATATGCCTTTCGTCCCTATGAGTGTGAAGCCAGGAGAGAACCAGACTGGGAAAGACCCCTGGACTAGAGGCAGGGACCCCTGGAGGAGACGGTGTTGTGTGGAGGTTTGAGTCTCAGCTCCGCCACATCCACCACTTACCTGGATCTCAGGTCAGTATTTCAGCCTCCCTAAGCCTCCCTGTCCTGACCTGTAAAATGGGGATCGTAACCCCCGGGCAAGTCATGAGGGTTAAAATAATACCCTGAGCCTCCAGCATCACACCTGGCACATGGTCAGTGCTCAGAATTATTACTGTTACGATGATCACAATGTAAGGTTCCCCAACACGTAAGCACTGGGGGCAGAGGTGGCCCAGAGCAGGAAGCTAGATGCTTAGCAAGGGGCCAAGAACGTCACTGCCCCGGGCCTCCCCCCAGTGCACCTCTGCTCATAGGCCTGCGCAGATTGCTCGATAGCCGCGTGCATCGTTTTCTTCTGTACGGACATGCGCCGGTGCAGCTGCTGGTAGACGTTGTCGTAAGCAGCCTTCTCAAAGCGTAGGTCCTCGATCTCCTTCCGGAGCTTGGCGTTGGTGGTCAGCATCTTGTCAAATTGAACAGTGACCTGTTGGAAGGGCTGTGCTTCAAAACAGGGCTCATTCCCAGGGTGTGAGACGAGCTTCCAGGAGGCAGCTGGAGGGCTGGAAGGCCTTCACCCCACCTCCCACCCCAGGGCCAAAAAACAGTGGTCGGAGCACTGGGTGAGAGGCTGGAGTTGGCCGCCAACTGGATTTCTCAACTACTCTTAGATCTAACTTCCAGTTTTCAGCTATTAACAGGGGAGAGGGGAGCAAGCTAAATGACACCATACGAAATAACCAAATCCAAAAGGTAGAACGTTCTTTTTTTTTTGAGACAGAGCCTCACTCTGTTGCCCGGGCTAGAGTGCCATAGTGTCATGACATTTCACCCTGAAATACTTTAATTGCATCTCTTAAAATTAAATCTTTTCTTTCATAAACATGAGACCAGTATCACACCTCACAAAATTAACAATATTTTCATAATATTACCCAATACCAAGTCCATATTAAAATTTCTCTGGTTGGCTCAAAAATATCTTTTAAAGGTGAATCCAATCAAAGTTCACATAATTGTTATACATCTTAAATTTCTTTAATCTAGAACAGTGGCTGTCAGTTGGGGGTGGATTTTGCCTCCAAAGGGACATTGTCTCCAAAAGGAAACCCTTAAGGTTGTCACAACTGGGTTGGAGGTGAGGGTGCTACTTGCATCTGGTGGGTAGTAGTAGGCATTTAACATCCTACAACACACAGCAAAGCCCCTCACCACAAACAATCGTGCTGCCCCAGATACCGATAGTGCTGAGTCTGACAAACGCTGCATAAAAATCGCCCCACCCCAATTTTTCTCACGCCATCTTCTTGAAGAGTCCAAGTCAATTGTCCTGTAGAAAGTTCTACCTTTTGAGGGCCGGGTGTGGTGGCTCACGCCTGTAATCCTAGCACTCTGGGAGGCCAAGTGGGAGGATCGCTTGAGCTCAGGAGTTCAAGACCAGCCTGAGCAAGTGCGAGACCCTGGCTCCACTAAAAATAGAAAAATTAGCCAGGCATCGTGGCGCACACCTATAGTCCTGGCTACTTGGGAGGCCGAGGCAGGAGGATTGCTTGAGTCCAGGAGTTTGAGGCTGCAATGAGCTACAGTGATGCCACTGCACTCTACCTAGGGCAACAGAGTGCAATTCAGTCTCAAAAAATAAATAAATGAATAAAATATGATGTTGGTTACATTATTCGTGGTAATGTAGATTGGCACAGCTGTAATAGAAAACAGTATGGAGGTTTCTAAAGAAATTAAAAATCGAACTACCATACAACCCTGCAATCTCTCTTCTGGGCATACACC